GTGTTTAGGGCACCGTGTAGCGCTGCACTCAGTTTTCCCAATGCTTTCTTTTGGTAGCGTAGTCGTACTTCTGCTTGATCCGACTATCTTGGGATCGGCATTGTTTGAGGGCTACCCCACCATCTTGTATCGTTCGTTCGGCCGTGTACTTCGTTTGATGTTTCCTTTATTATATATAAAGCGGGGCGAAAGCCTGTTTTGAAAAAAAAAGTAATTAGGTTATCAGCTAGGTCTCATGCTCAAAGGTGTGTCTTTGCTATGTGACTTCATATCCGAGTGTTCACCTCGGATGTTCAAGACAACGTAAATGTGCCAGTGGAAATGATGAAATATGAAATGTCTTATCAATTCATATTGTAGGAGTATTTCTTTTTCATTGCAAACAAGGAATATTTGGTTATTTCCATTAATTTAATTGTGTGCCCCTCTAGTTGTCCCACACTTCACTTTCTGTTTGCTGGGTCAGTTAATGGTCTTCTTTTTCATATATGACAGTAAAGGAGCAAAAGCTGGAAGCGTTTTTTTCCTGTTATAAGCAAACTATTTACATGTCTATGTTATGCCTATTCTTATGTTATCTCGGCCCCATTTTCCCCAACTGGTGGCATTTTTTTATGAGCAAACATATTTGAATTGACTAATTTGCATCTAAGCCATAATCATTTCAAACTCAAAATTCCGTAGAGATAAACAACATTCGTTACCGCATGGTAATTCGTTATGTGGATGGGCACCAGACAAACTTTTATTCTGTTCATAGTCATAGATATTGCTAGGTGCTCACATATGTTGCGTGCCATATTTACTAGGACTGTGCTGATGTAAATGGCAAATAAATAGAAGGTGAGTACTTCACTGGGTCTTGGGGGCAGGTCCGTGCAGACATGACGATCAATCCTGACCTGTACCAGTACCAACATCTCCTGGATTAAATTGATTTATTTCTTGAGCCAAATCTACCGCGTAGGATTTCTAGTAGTATATATTAATAAGTACTCCCTCCGTAAAGAAATATAAGAAATATAAGTTTTCTGATTCCACTAGCCTCTCGAAGGACCCCTTGTCCAGAGGATGTACTGTATGTGAATAATCACTAGGACGTGTGTCAACTATATAGCATTCTCAGATAGTTACACAGCAATTCATATCTGGTTCCTTTCAGACACGCTAACTTACAAGCAAAACTCGTAATTGGTACTGCTACTAGAGTTAGTTGTATTCATAGAGTCTTAAACAAGGTTTATGATTCTCCACTTGTACTGCTTGCAGCTGTATTTTCGCAAAATCAATTAATATGTTTCCAATTTATTCTTTCAGGTAAGCTTACAACCTTGAGGGTAAAACAGAATTCAGGGAGCTATTCATCTTTCTTTTTGGCATTTAATCAAGAGGATCATAACTCTCAAGGTGGTGTTAAATTGATAAAATTAGTTAAAGCTGTTTCAATCCAACCTTCTTCCAAGGACAAGTTTTTAGTACTTGATTCAGCTGGAGTGATACATGCCTTCAGTCTTCGAAATGCTGAATTGGAACCGGAAGCTGCCAAAACATGTTTTTTGGATTGTGCCATGAAAGTCCAATTGTTTGCTGTTTTCCCAAGTAGCTCTACGAGTGAGTTTTTGTACTGGCTCTGTTCTTTTTACATTGTGGTGGTTTACTTAATTAATAAATGTGTTCAGAGCATTTGTGCAGAGACACAGATTCTTTGGGTTTCAGATGGTGGACATTCCATACAAATATTGTCACCATTGCCGGCATTTGATGTCAAGTCTCCTAAAAGCGACGATGATTTTAGTGATGAGGAAAGAGAGTTAGCAACCATTAAGCTCTCAGGTTTGTAGCATTGACTTGGTTCTTTTGTTCTCGTTATTTTTTTAATTCGTAACTTAGTCAGATTCTTTAAAAAGTGTGTATTTATTGTCAATTTATTAGAATTCTGAAATGTACCGCCTATTGAAGTATTAGTTCAAACACTGGTTTACATCATTTACATGTTTAACCTCGGAAGTTTATTCACAGTACTTAAAAAACACATAGTAATTGTTCAGAAGAGTAGCATTACCTATTATTCACTTTTTATATTGGCCAGTTTTCTTATCTTCCCACAGAAAATGGGAGTGAGTTCATTTGGTTTAGGTGGTCTATATAGTGCTTTCCAGCAGGTAGATCATAACCTTCTTTTCCAGGGGATTAACTTCTGTTGTCCTGCAGCTACTGAAGCCATCTTCACTAGTGAAAAGGTTCAAGACATTGTACATATCTCCAAGGATTCCGTGCTTATCCTTGGCCAAGGTATGAGATAGTGATGTATCTTGAAGCTGAACATTTTGGATTGTGATAAATCTGTTGATATATCGGTTTTGTTTCAGTTCTTCCTTCTCTTATTTTCAATTTTTCTGAACATCATAAATGCTGTTTTTTTCAGGCAACATGTTTTTATATGGAACTGCTTGAATTTGGCTTGTTATCATATTCGTGGTAAATCTATCTAAAGAACTTTCTGTCTTTTCCATTTTCACATTCATTGGTTTAGTCTACACCCACATAATTTTTTTTTTTGATATCAGGTGGAGACACAGCTGTTGTTTAGATCATGAGTGTGCAGTTTTGGATGGTTTTTTGGCCAACGACAGGGTGGGTTCAATGATTAATAGCTATTTATCACTTGGAAGGCCACTCTTGTGTTGTTCTCTAATGCTTCCCCCTTTTTTCAAGTGCAGTGTTTGTTAATCTTGAAGACATACTTGTTCACCTGTTTTTGGAAGTCATGAGCACCATTAGTCTTTTAATTTCAGTAAGCAGAGTAAAACTCATGACTTGGATGACAACCAGCAAGAGTTGAAAGGTGCAGGCCATTCTATGCTGTCTCGACTGTCTGAAAGCAACATTGCAAAACTCGGAGCCATCTTTCAGCACAGCTCGTCGATACTTCTGAGCAGGTGATGCCACATTATGCAATGCGTGGATTACAACAACTGGGCTGTTGTCTATTCACATTTCTGCACGCCGGGACAAGGGCATTTCTGGTTGCTATGGCTGCACGAAGGGGTGGCTGCAGGCTGCAGCCCTGTGCCCAGGCTCAGCTGTGGTTGATCACCGCCAAGTGCCGCTCCCTTGGTGGTGGACTAGGAGGTTAATCCTACTGCAGCAGGGAGACTGGGCTGTGGAGCTGAGTGTGGTGTGTTCTTTCTTGTAGTAGTTGCCAGGCTCTGGGTGCCTCAGAAACCAATAATGTAGCACTATTTCTGTAAGGTCAGGCCTAAGCTGGAACGATTGGTAAGGTCGTCCATTTAATTATGATGTGAGTTTTGCTACAGCCTGCTAGTTTGTGGTTGTTGATGAATAATATCGAGACCTAGTTATTTGTTTCCTTTTGTTTTGTTTGTTCGTTCACAAATATAAGATGTTCTGGATATTTCAGTATGGACTAAATATATACTGAAATGAGTTAACAAAGGGAAAATGCATTGCAGCTCTCAGGTGCCACATACCCCTATATGAGTATAGCATTAAGAAAAATATCAGGAAATTTCAAAAAATTCTGAAATTTTGGGATATGAAACACGAGTGCACATTGTACATCCGTGTTCATTTTCGTGGGGAATGGGTGATTACGATCCGACATATGTTACACCTAGTTTTTTTTGCTACACATACTTTTGTCTTTTTACTGACATTACCACGGGCACCCATTCCTCACGAAACTGAACACGTGTGTACAACGGGCACCCAGGTTTCATATCTCAAAAATTCAGACTTTTTTGAAATTTCCTAATATGATTTTTACTGCCATATTTATATAGGGGTGTGTGGCACCCGAGAGCCACAAATCCTCTTCCGTTAACAAAGACACTAGAACGTGTCTATATACATTCGGTGTGCAAAAAAGTTAGTGTAAACATCTTACTCCCTCTGTTCACTATTATAAGATGTTGATGCTCCATTTCACTCATGGGCGGCCGATACCTGGTCTAGTGGTCTGGTCATCGAGCTGCAGTGTTATGTAAAATGGGCTCTAAATTTCCAGGGCATGAAATTGATCTTCATAGTATCATACTCCATGTTTCATAATGTAGTGCGTATATTAAAACATTACAAACTTTGACTATGTTTATAGAATATGTATATTTAAATTAAACAATGCATATCATTGGATACATAATCATTTATATTTTCATGTTGTATATGTTTAAAATTGTATATGTAAATGGTTTTCTCTTTAAACTTGGTCAAAGTTTGGTTAGTTTGACTTTAAACAAAATCTATACACACTATGTTATTGAACGGATAGAGTATATGCAAGTGATTGCTTTATTTATGGATGCTCGTAACTGGCGAAGGTTCGTCAGGGAAGGTAGCACACACGAACGTTTTAGGCGACAATTTTAGTTCTGAGTGGGTGGTAATTTCTTCAGAGTGACATGACATTTTTTTCTAGAGAAGACATTTTTCATTTAAGAACTGCTGTCGTTTGATTTTTCTTCACAACTAAAACTTTTATCAAATGACGTTCGCTTGTCACCCCTCTCCCAGCGAACATCAGCTGGGTAACATTACCGTTATTTATTTATTTCCTCCCCGTTGCCGCACCAATTATTGCTGTGATTTCAAATCGATATGGTAGGTGTATTTTGTCTATTCTGGTGACAAGTGACTGCCGCCACTTCCGCCGTGCAGGACGATACCTCCTTTTCCTTCCTCAAATGTTTCATCCAGCCGCCTACCAGCTCTCGGCGCGACATTCTCCGGCCCCGCTTCAATCTCCCCCTCGTTCTCATCTTGGTATTTCTTTCCCTTCTACCCCCCGGCTCATCCCATAGGGAGTACGTGGTTGCCGCCTTTGGGCTCCTCCTACACAGATCAGCCCCTGCTTGCTTGTGCACACGCTATCCATGTCCCATGCACGCACACGCAAGGTGTTTGATAGAATGCCTATGAGGAAATGAACTGTGGATTCTTAATTAATGATCAGGTATGCTTTGAATAATTTGGCTGGTGGTGGTTAAAATGCTTCTTTTTAGCGAGGGAAAGTTTAAATGCTTTAATTTCTTAATGCCTTATTTGGCTTAGAGCAGGTGCATATTCGTGAGGACCTGAAACATAGTCTTGGTAAAATTGCTGTCTGACTTGTAGTCTTTTATACAGCATTCTGAAAGCATGTTTGAAGGAATATCTACTACGTATAGCACTTAAAGCCTCCAGTTCTATGAAAGTAGTTGGATGCTCTTCACCTGCTTGCTACTGAGAAATTCTTTCGTATTCTCTTTTGTGACAAGAGAACTAGTCTAAGAAAATGGACCAGGGAGACCTGAAATACTTGAGAACGCCGGACAGGCTAGAATACAAGCCGAGAATAAGTTGTTAGACTAGCCACAATTCCACCTCTATGACATTATCTCCTTGTACTTAGCTCAAGAAGTAGATTATCAACACCAAGTTATACAATTGACGCGTTACAGTTCTATTTCTACTACATAACTGGCATATTATTCTTATTGCCATTAACTCAAGAAGTAGATGATCTGTTCTAGGAGATATGATAGCAGAAGGTGGTTTCACTCGCCCTCTACCTCATTTGCAAGCAGTAATCTACCTTTACCTTGTTCAGCTTCACTACCACCTTGTCCATTGCGGTTCTTTCATCAGGCATCGTTGATGAGCACTGTAAACTCAACTCTATTACAGATGCAAGGCATGTGTTGAGAATGATAGACTGCTCTCTCGATGTGCTTTCATCGCTAGCATGGCAATCACTCTTGATTCCTTGTGATAGAACTTCGTTGTCGACAACATCTATAAGCCTGGTTGGAAATGCTTTAGTAACCCATTGCCGCAAGCTGAGCTCCTCACCGAACAGCGGGCTAGTGGGTCTTTTCCCCGTGAAGACCTCCAGCATCATGATCCCATAGCTGAACACATCGCTCATGCGTGATGCTTTACCAGTTGATCCATACTCTGTTCATTACGCATATGAAAACATAATGGAAAATAAGAAAAAAAATCTTTATTTGTAAACGTTTGGTTTGTTGAAAAGATAGGTAAGTTCAATACCTGGTGCCATGTAGCCGATTGTTCCGGGCAGGTTTGTTAACGCAATGGAGTTATCATCACCCAACAACAACTTGGCAATGCCAAAGTCAGCGATGTGCGCAGTCATGTCTGCGTCCAGCAATACATTGCTAGGCTTCAGATCACAATGAAGAACAACCTCGGTGTGCTGGTGGTGGAGGTACTCCATCGCCATCGCTACATCTAGCATAATTTCTAACCTCTTGACGAACCCCAAACCCTGAGGGCTGTTGCTTGAGTGCAGCCAACTATCCAAACTCCCATTTGGCATGTACTGGAGCACCAGGGCCTTGAATTCAAAGTTGGAGCAAGTGCTAAGTATTTTCACTAGGTTCCGGTGACGGGCCATGCGCAGAGCACGACACTCTGCATCAAAACTCACAGAGGCTCCTTCATGTTGCATGTTGAGCACCTTTACTGCAACAATTGATTCGTCATCCAGTTGTCCCTTGAAGACTTTGCCAAAGTTCCCAGATCCAATCAGATTGTCCTCACTGAAGTTTTCTGTAGCACGAACAAGCTCGTGGAATGATATTAAGCGGTAGTTGATTATGTTGGATTCCGAGGGAACTGATGTCTTTTTGCACTTCTTGATCTTTGTTCTGATTAATATGCACAAGCAGGTAGCCAAAATTGCAACTCCCCCGGCTACAGGAAGTATAATTTTTATCAACGATTCCGGTGATTTATGATGGCTCTGGCAGGGTGAAATGCCTAGACGTGAGAGGCCACAGAGAGCATCGTTTCCTCTCAAAGACTGAAGTGTGATGTTTGAGAAAATTCCTCTATCCGGTATCGGACCATCTAGTTTATTGAAAGAGAGGTTCAGGCTAGTGAGGAAGGTCAGATTGGCCAGTGACTTTGGTATGGTACCCCGAAGGGAATTGTATGATAGGTCCATGGTCTCTATGCTGACTAGCTCTCCAAATGAGTTTGGGATTTGTTCCTGGAATGAATTGTTTGACAGGTTCAGGTAGGTGAGCATCTGGAGCCTGCCCAAGGAATCCGGTAAGCCACCGGTCATAAGATTGCTTGAAAGATCCATTTGAGCAATTTGTTTTACTTGGCTAACATCTCTCGGCAGTGGACCAGTCAGCATGTTGTATGCCAGATTAAGACTGATGAGCTTTGAGAGGCGCCAGAGACTGAAGGGTATGGTCGAAGACAGTGAGTTAAGAGAAGATGTCATGTACTGCAGCTCACTTAGATTACCCATAGTGCTCGGTATCGGGCCAGACAACTGGTTTTTATCAAGATATAATCGTACTAGGCGTGTTAATCTGGAAATTTCTTCTGGGATGGCGCCGGTCAAGGTGTTGTTGGCAAGGTTGAGTTCTTGGAGATTGTTCAGTGTAGTGACGGATACAGGGATGGTCCCGCTCAGTTGGTTTCCGTCGAGATCAATTGTGGTAAGGCTGCTAAGATTTGCAATTGTATCTGGAATGCTCCCTGTTAGGCTGTTAGAACTTGCTATGAAGTACTGGAGTTGTGAAGTAAGGTTTCCCAAATAGTCAGGTATGCTTCCTGCAAACGAATTGGACGATATGCCAAGGGTACTCAGGTTCTTGCAGTTGGAGAGTGCATGGATAAAGTTTAGCTTCCCGCTAAGCTTGTTTCCATCCACATACAAGCCTGTAAGACTACGAACATTCCCAAACGTGGTTGGAACTGATCCAGTGAAGGCATTGAGTGTCAGATCAAGAGTTTTTATGCTTGATATATTGCCTATGGATTCAGGAATTTTACCTGTTAGGAGGTTTGTCGAAAAGCTCAAGTAATTGAGGTTTCTCAAATAGCCTATTTGAGGTGGAATTTCTCCTTCCAGCTGGTTGACACTAAGATCAAGCATGACAAGGTCTGTGCGGTTGCTTAGCTCAACCGGGATCTTACCGACGAGGTTATTTGCCGACAGTAGAATAGTAGAAAGCCGAGGCATTGTTGCTAACCATGCCGGTACAGGACCAGTGAAGTTATTAATGGAGATAGAAAGAAGCTCAAGTTTGTTGGATCTGGCCAGTGCCGGCTGGATTGGGCCAGTAAAATGATTCGAAGAAAGACCTAGTTTTTGTAGCATGGGGAGGCTAAAGCTCTTGTTGCCAGGGAGGGAGCCGAAAAGATTGTTGTTCCCCAAACCGAAGATTCGGAGCATGGACATGTTAAAGATGGCAGCAGGGACAGTGCCAGTAAGAAGGTTGAGTTCCAGGACAAGGATTTCAAGCTTCCTCAAATGGCCAATGGCTTCAGGTATGCTTCCAGCGAGCCTGTTCCTGCCAAACCATATGACGCTCAAATTGGGCGTGTTGTTGAAGAGGCCTATAGGTATGGTGCCACTCAGGTCGTTGCTGTTGAGGTTTATGTACCGGAGGTTGCGCAGCGCGCGCAACTGTGTGGGAATGGCCCCGGAGAGTGAATTGTAGCCGATGTGTAGGTACTGGAGCTCGGTGAGGTTGCCGAGCGCCGAGGGGATGGTACCTGACAGGCGGTTCTCGTCGAGGTCGAGGTGTCTGAGCCGCGCGAGCCGGCCAAGCTCGGCAGGGATCACGCCGGCCAGCCCTGTGTTGCTGAGGTTGAGGTGGGAGATGAAGGAGAGGTTGCCAAGCTCCGGTGGTATGGCGCCTCCGAGTGGCATGCCGGGGAGCGACAGCGCGGCCACACGCCGCCCACGGGCGTCGCACGAGACGCCGAGCCAGCCACAGAAGGGCGTGCGTGCCGTCCAGCTGCGACGCAGGACGCCGCGCGGGTCACGCACGCTGGTCCTGAAGGCCAGCAGCGCCGAGAGGTCGTCGTCGGTCGCGTTTGCTGGCTGATCAAGCGCGGCCGTGCCGGGCAGCAGCAGCGAGAAAGCCACCGTGGTCAGTACTAGGACAAGAAGAGCCATGGTGGTAGCGTGATGCGCGTGGTTATGCCTTCCGTGTCTCCAGGCCAGGGATGCATTGCGAACTTGAAGAAGCCAGTGGTGTGCTGGGAATTTAGTGCAGTCGCCTTCTGAGTAGTTGATTATCGGTGCAGGGGAACATCAGCAACTCTACATACTGTGCTGGGGTGGAATGGCAGCCCATGCTCCGTTTACTCGGTCCAGAAATCAGATGCTACGGTTCACATCTCTGCAGGCGTTCTCAGGCATATGGTCAGAGAAATGGAAATCCCGGCTTTGGCATGCTCTGACCTTCCAGCATCAGCGTGGTTAGCACAAGAGCCATGGTGGACTAGCGGCAGCGTGGAGCTTCATCGAACGGGTACTACTGTACTGCTACTTGAGATGCATGCATCTGAGGCTTTAGATAGAGACTTTTGAGCGCCGCTTGAAAGCCATTTTCCTTGTGAAGAGTTGATTGTCCAAGCAGGGAACATCAGCTGTACCGTGCTGGAGTGGAATGGCAGCCCATGCTCCCTGTTTTCATGAATCAGATGCACTTCACATCCTCAAACGTCCTCATCGTTTGACTTGTACTCAACTCCAGCCTAGCCACCCAGGCCAGCAGTGAACGGCATGACCTGAGAAATGGAAGTTCCTCCTGGTTTGGCATGCTCCGACCTTCCGTGCCCACGCGTCATGGAGAAATTCCAACTTAGCATGCACGACTGAATCTGATGCGGCCACACGGAAAAAGTCTCAGGGTGCAGACCCGGTACGCGATGTTGCCGTTGACGGTGACAGAAGTACAACTTGCTGTCTTTGTGAACCCTCCATCAGTCGGTGCGGCGAGACTGCACGGCGCCTTAACACACTGGTTACGACTCCTCGTGCCGCAGAGTTAGCTTCTGTAACTCTCACACTTGTATTGCCTGGCCTCGATGGGCTTATATTATACTGTGTTACAACAGAGGTACAGAGAGGGAGAGAGGGTACAGCGGCAATACAAGCGTGAAAGTTACAGAACCCAACTCGCAGCTGCTCCGATAGAAACACTGGGAAGAATTACAGAGAGCAACTATATATTGTCATAGGAAGAATTACAGTCAGTACAAAGAGCTAGCTGACCCAGCCAATGTCAGCATTTATGTTGTTGCTCTGTTTACTGGTGTTTTTTCTTTTGAGGAGTGAAGCAGGGTGCTCTGCTTTATTTCCTTACTTCGTTATCTGAGCACAGTAATTTGCCTTGATCTTGTTCAATTTGACAACCACATCATCCATTGGCAGTCTCTCATCAGGTGCAGTCCTTGAGCAAACTAACCCCAACTCGATGATGGACGCCAGGCAAGCATTCAAGATGGCGGAGGAATCCTCGGAGGGATTGCTTATCTTATCCATACCGTGCTTTGGTACATCTTCCAGCAGGCCACGGTCAGTGACACTGGAGAGTTCATATTGGAATGCTTGGTTAACCCACTGCCTTAAGCTCAGCTCACCAGCAAACATTGGATCAGTCGGCTTTTTCCTCGTGAAGACTTCAAGGAGAACAATCCCAAAGCTGTAAACATCACTGAAGCGTGATGCTTTCCCGCTTGATCCGAACTCTGTTCCATGCCAAAAGAAAACCAGTGAGCTTTTATAATGGATCAAAACAATCGGAAATATCTTATCAGACTTACAAGGGAAATTACCTGGTGCCATGTATCCTACAGTGCCGGGCATGCTCGTTAACACGATAGAGTTGTCGTCTCCAACCAGCAGCTTGGAAATCCCAAAATCGGCAACATGTGCAGTCATGTCCATGTCAAGCAAAATGTTGCTCGGCTTTAAATCAAAATGCAGGACAACTTCGAAGTGCCGGTGGTGCAGATACTCCATTGCCATTGCAACATCCAGCATGATTCCAAGCCTTTGCAGAAAACTAATGTGCCTCCGTTCGCTTGAATGCAACCAATCATCTAAGCTGCCATTAGGCATATACTCAAGAACCAATGCTTTGAAGTCAAGATTAGAGCAAGTGCTAATTATCCTGACCAGGTTCCGGTGCCGGGCCATTCGTAATGCACGACACTCTGTGTCAAAGCTCTTTGAAGCTACTTCGTCTTGCATATTGAGAACCTTTATTGCAATGACAGACTCATCATCTAGCTGACCTTTGAAGACTTTACCAAAGCCTCCAGCCCCTAGCAGGTTATCATCACTGAAGTTGCTTGTTGCACGGACAAGTTCATGGTATGAGATCAACTGGTAGTTCGTCAAGTCTGTGTTTGAGGGCAGTGACATCTTTCCTTGCTTATTCAGCTTTCTTCTAACCAACATGTACACGCAAGCTGATAAAACAAATAATGTCACTACTGCAGGTAATATGACTTTCAGCAGTAGTTGTTTTGACCTTGAGTGTGAGTTGTTCTGGCATGGCGATATTCCTTCCCTTGGAAGGCCGCAGAGTGCACTGTTTCCCATCAATGATTCGAGAGTGATGTTGGAGAACACACCTCCTTCTGGTATCTGTCCATCTAGCTTGTTGAAAGAGAGGTTCAGGTTGGCAAGATAAGTGAGGTTGGCCAATGACTTCGGAATGGCACCAGAAAGTGCATTGGAGGAGAAGTCTAACTCCTCAATACTTAATAACTTTCCAAGTGAGTCTGGTATTGATCCTTCTAATAAGTTTCTGGACAGATTCAGATTGATCATCATCTGCAGTGCACCAAATGAAGTTGGGATATCACCTGATAGCTGGTTACTCGACAGGTCCATCTCGGTAATTGCAGTCAGTTTCCCTACATCTTCCGGCAGGGAACCACTGAAAGAGTTCTGTGACAAATCAAGCTCAATTAGTTTTCGTTGGCGCCATAGACTTGTTGGTATGGTTGAAGATAACGAGTTGCGGGATAGTGTCATAATCTGTATCTGGCTTAGGTTACTGATGCTACTTGGAATGGGACCAACGAGTCTATTGCTGTCAAGATGCAACTTAGCCAGGCTTGTTAACCCACTGATTTCTGCTGGGATGGTGCCGGACAAGCTATTGTTGGCAAGGTTGAGTTCTTGGAGATTGCTCATTGCAGCGATTGGTGTGGGGATTGTCCCATTTAGCTGGTTTCCACTGAGCGACAGAGTCATTAAGTTGGTAAGATTGGCAAATGTACCTGGGATGCTTCCCGTGATCCTGTTGTTATCTGCTATAAAAGTCTCGAGGACTGTGCTAAGGTTTCCAATGTAGGCTGGCAGACTCCCTGTGAATGTGTTGTTTGCCATGCTGATTGTATTCAGGCTCCTGCAATTTGAGAGTGCAGACAGGAAGTCGAGGTTCCCGCTGAGCTGGTTCCCATCAAGCCAGATGCGACGAAGGTTCAGCAAGTTCCCAAATGAAATTGGCACCGATCCAGTCAAACCATTTCCATAGAAATCTATGGTTGTGAGGTTAGAAAGATTGCCTATGGAATCAGGAATGGGACCTGTTATTCGGTTGTTGGCAAAGCTCATAAACCTGAGGTTTGTCAACCGTCCAAACTCTTGTGGGATTCCCCCCTCAAGTTTGTTCTGGCTAAGGTCCAAACCGAGAAGCTCAGTGTGGTTGCTCAGTTCCACAGGGATCTTTCCAGTGAGGCCATTTGTCGACAAGTAAATTCTTGTGAGGTTCGGCATTGTCGCCAACCATGATGGCACGGGACCGGTGAAATCATTCACGGCGAGGGAGAGCGTGTCAAGGTTCCGACACGCCGAAAGACCTGGCGGGATAGGTCCCTCAAACTGGTTTTCATTGAGGGACAACACTTCCAACATGGGGAGGTAGAAGCTCTCATTTCCAGGGATTGGACCTGAGAGATTGTTCCTTGTGATGGCTATGACCTGCAGCTGGGACATGTTGAAGATGGCAGGAGGCATGGGGCCTGAGAGAAGATTGCCTTCCAGGACCAGCCACTCGAGCTTCGACAACGAGCCGATGCTGTCAGGAATCGCTCCCGTCAGCCGGTTCGACCCGAGACGCACAACGCGCAGATCGGGCGTGTTGTTGAACAGGCCATGCGGTATCGGCCCGCTCAAGTCATTGTTTGACAGTCTCAGCGACTGAAGTTTCCTCAGGTTTTGAAACTCGTATGGGATTGCGCCGAAGAAGTTATTGCTGTCGAGGTAAAGAGACTGGAGCCCTGTGAGGTTGCCAAGGGTGGAGGGGATGGCACCTGACAAACTGTTGTACGAGAGGACGAGGTTTTGGAGCCGGGGCAGGCCGCCAAGCTCGCTGGGCACGGGGCCGGCGAGGCTCGTGTTGCTGAGCACGAGGCTGGAGAGGAAGGAGAGGTTGCCAAGCTGCGGGGCGATGCTGCCATGGAGCGGCACGCCGTCGAGCTCTAGGCCGGTGACGCGCTGCCCGCGGCGGTCGCATGAGACCCCGACCCAGGAGCAAGGGGACGCCGCCGCGGCCCAGTTGCCGGCGAGGATGCCGAGAGGGTCCTCCACCTGTGCTTTGAAGGCGAGCAGCGCGGCCAGGTCCGTGGCGTTGGACGACGCCGGCTGCGCCGCGCCACATGGCATCAGCGAGACGAGGAGCGCCGCCATGCAGAGGCAGAGACGAGCGGCCATGGATGTGGAGAGGTGAAGGTTGGTGAGGGAATATGGGGCGTGGTGCGCTGGTTTTGGACGTGCCATCGATCAGTGGGCTCAAGTGGCTGATAACTGAAACTGAAAAGGAGGAGGAGCCGTCCCTCCAACTTGCTCCCATTATTTAATGACGAGGAGTGGAACAGGCGTAATGCTGCTGCAGTAGTCAACATGTTCACATGCATCTGACCACACACGGCTGCTTCTTGGAAACGAGATCTTCCTTCAGGTGCTAGAGCTCTTTCCTTCATTGGATACCCGAATCGGATTCGGAGGCACCGATGCAATTCAAAAGTTGAGATTGATCAGCTGATTAACAGAACAGAGATGATTCTGGTTCTACTTGATCGTAGGTGGAGCTGATCCTGGTTGTCGGAGACGCACCATCACGCCAGTTTTCAAATGGTTATTAGGCTCTAGACTGCACACATTGACACATTATTGACGCTGGTCGGATCCATTATACAAGTGCAAGTTGATGATAGCATAGTTCTTCTGGCTTCCTGGGCTCTCTCAGAGTAAAATACTCCCAAGTGCGCGTCATTCGCATCTTTATCGTCGTAGCACCGTATCTGAGTGAGTGAGCTGTGCACCTTTCTTCTTTCTGAATATGGTGAGAAGCTGTTGTTGTAGTGCTTGTGTTGTGTTGGACCGACCTGGCATCAGACTATTCCATGGCCCATGGCTACTTCAATAATTTGAATTTTGGTGCTGTTCTTATATGAGATAATTGAAAAATAAACAACTGACGGAAGTGGGTGTTGGGAAGTTCGGTAAGATTTTGGGCTCAAGTGTTAATGATAAGTAATAACTGGTAGCTGATGCATACTACTACTACTACTACTACTACTACTACTACTACTACTACTACTACTACTACTACTACAATTCACTCAACCGTGAAGTTGAGTATTCGATCATCGGGACCGAGATTTTAGCGACGAGTTTGTGAAGTTTCTCCTCCTGAACCTTGCATATCCCTAAGTCTTATCATACCGATTCCACACACACATCTCTCAAAGGATGGCGCCAATAATGATTTAGTGAACAAATCAGCAATATTGTCACAAGACTTAGTATGCTCAATAACAAAGAGAGAGAAATGTTTTGATAAGTTTGCCTCGCTAAGGGTATGCCACTTGCTTGCTAGATTATCTTTTATATTATCTTGTTTACCAGGATACTAATATCATTCTCCATCAATGTAAAACTTGCATTATATAGTTTTATGATGTATTAATATTGTATTTTACTTGTTGGTGACATTTGAAAACTCAGTTCCCTATTTGTACATAACAATGAAATGCCTAAATTTCCCTAAAAAAACAATGAAATGCCTAAAAACATGTAAATTATTGCCTAGTGGTGATACACTATCAATGTAGTGATTGTTGATTGTTATTATTACAACCACAGATGGTCATATTTTTTTGGTCGAAAACATGCCAACATATGAATCCCTAGTCCAGACGAAAATGACAGTAAAGAAGGACCGCTAATTGGATTAACTACTTGTGAAATAAGTAGTTTTCTTTTGAAAGTGAAATAAGTCTCTTTTTAGAATCAAGTTTTTTTTTGAAATAAGTATTTTCTTTAGAATCAAGTTTTTCTTAGCAATAAGTCTTTTTTAGGTTAATTTTGATAAATAAGCCTTGTTTTTTTAGCAATGAGAAATAACTCTTGTGTGTGTGTGTGGTTAGATTGGGCCAAACGACCAATTCATCTAACTACCTACTCCTACATGGTTAGCCCATTTAACCTAACCTAAGAAGCCCAGCATTCCTCCGAGTTCAGGCCCCTGTCCCATCCAAACACTACCGGTGCCCAATTGGTAGTGCCGGCGACGACGGCGGCGATGCGGCTGCTCTCCGGCGCCTCGGCCTCCCGCCTCCCCTCGGCCCTCCCCTTTTTGGCGCGGGCAAGGCCTAGATGTGTGTCGCGCTATTCCTCCGCCTCCGCTTGCCGGGCCGCCTCCTCGTCAGCTGCGCCCGTCGGTGACGGCGGCGCGCGGAAGCCGTGGCTGTTCGTTGGGCTCGGGAACCCCGGGAAGATGTACCAGAGGACTCGCCACAACGTAAGCTTCCGTACATGCTCTATTCACTGTAAAACCCATCATTCTGCTCGGTGGGATTGTGGAATTATCCTAGTTACTCGTGGGTTGAAATGTTGAGAATTGGTACATATTGGAGTTGGACGCCAAAATAGTTGCACGCTTTGATTAGTGAATGGTGAGGTCGTAGGCATGAACATTTGGTATGTGATTGTAGGAACATGCCAGCAGCAAATTTGCGAGTGTAAAGCTGCTTTCTGTTTTAGCAATTTTGCGAGTGTAAAACTGCTTTCTGTTTTAGCTGGCCGATTGAAGATATTGTCTTTGTGATGGGCTGTTAACCTGTTGTTGATAAACACATTTTGTAATCATGGTGGTTATCAGAAATTTCATGTTATACTATCTCAGTATGACAGTATCCGTATCTGAATGATCGTCTAGACCAATCACCACTTTTTGGGTAAAGAATTTGGAACAGCCAAGTGTCCTAGCCAGATACTTATTTATCCAAGGTCATTATGCTATAAAAGTACTCCCTCCGTCCCAAAATAAGTGTCTCAACTTTAGTACAACTTCAAAGTTGTACTAAAGTTGAGACACTTATTTTGGGACGGATGGAGCATATATTATGAAGGATACTACACTTTATAGGCAGCAAAACTGGTTATTCTGCACTGCTTGTCATTTGGTTTAAGTTTGCTCTTGTTTCGTACTTTGTTGTATAGAATTGAATTGCACATAACTTATATCTACAGTATCTCTATTTAAGTAAAGGTCGTATCCATTTTTTCACAGGTTGGATTCGAGATGATTGATGCTATAGCAGAAGCAGAGGGTGTATCACTCAGCAGTATGCAGTTCAAGGCAATGGTTGGCAAAGGTAATATTCCCACCAAAGTTTTCAGGATAATCTATTCCTGATTATTTAACATCGCTATATGCATGTTACTCCTTTAAAATTCTGTAGGTGCATAGACATTTGTAAAATTGTTTGTAATCGTTCAGGTCGTATCGGAGATGTTCCTATCATGCTTGCCAAGCCGCAAACATTTATGAATGCAAGCGGTGAGTCTGTAAGTACAATGCTTGCAAAACAAACTTGAAACTACTTCTTCCGTTGTTCCCTTGTTTGACGCCCTGAATTGTACAGGTTGGGCAGCTGGTTTCATATTTCAAGATACCACTTAATCAAGTCGTTGTGGTAAATGTTAATCTTGATTTGGTTCCTTTTATCACGGATCGTTATAATTTGGTTCCAACATCATTCTTCTCTTCTCTGCAGATGTATGATGATCTGGATTTACCCTTCGCAAAATTGCGTCTACTGCCAAAAGGTGGACATGGCGGGCATAATGGGTACTCCAGTCTTTTCTACTTCTTTAATGAAACACATTTCCTGTATAAATACATAACCTATTGTCCGGTCCTTTATTTTACGAACTATAGGATGAAAGCCTCATGACTTTGTAGACATATAATCGCTAAGCACTCTTAAGTTTAACTAAGCAAAAACATAGAATAATCATATACTTTTTGGAACTGTTCTTTGAACTCAGTGCAATGTAATGGCATTGTTATCTTAAAAATTGATTGTAACTTGTAAGGTTCCAGGCTGTGTTGATGTTATGTACGCACAGTACATGGTCCACCCAATGCCAATTTAGTGAAATGATTCCCGTGATCTCTTAGTTAGGAAGTTTTGAATTAGGAAGATATCATTTTGCTTGGTCCTTAAGCCAAGTAGAGATAAGATCTATGATTTGTTCCTTAGATTGGATTGTTAGGCCTCTATATAAAGAAGACCCTTTGTAGAATAAAGCAAGCAATAATTAGGAGAGTAAGAAAAAATTCTTCTGTCTAACCCCCAGGGGCAAGAGCCTCTCCTTAAGCCTAGTACCCAACAGACAAAATTAGCATGCTGACATTTGTACATTTATTTCTCCCTCATATAGATCTTATTACCAACAGTAAAAAATGTAAATGTAATAATTTTTATCCTTGTGAACCTTTCCTTTGTTATTGTTCTGGGAAGAGCTTGGGAGAACCTAACAAAATAGTTGCAATGAGCTGGAATTCTTTCTTGTATTTTTTGTTCTGACGAGCTATTTTTCTCAAGGATGAGAAGCATTATCAACCATCTCAAACAAAATCGTGATTTTCCACGTCTAAGAATTGGTATGTCACTTTGTCAGTCACTTTTCTCCTTTTCTAACAATGTTACTATTGTCTGAAATATTCTTGATGATATTGGTGCAGGCATTGGACGACCACCTGGGAAGATGGATCCTGCCAACTTTGTTCTCAGGCCATTCACCAAAAAAGAACAAGAAGAGGTTTGGAATGCTTGATAGAAATTTAAAATATTTGATATTTACCGCTTCTCTGTCATGCTTAGGCACCATCGCCTATCCAGTGTATATGCTTTCGAAAAAATGATCTTTATATTGATTCAAGTGCGGCACAACCGAACAATAATGCAAGTAATCTGTTTCTGCAGCTTGATTTCACATTCCATAGGAGCTTGGAAGCAATAAGAATAATGGCACTTGAAGGATTCAACAAGAGCGCTACTTTCGTGAACACTGCCCAGTCATCCGAAATGCTGAATAGATGACAGGCCAATTCATTGTTTCTTGTGCCAAAGCGATTGAGTTTAAGTGATGAACTAGAGTTAAGGAACTAGATAGGGGTGTTCAGTTACTTGCATTGTGGCCATCTTTCCTGTTAGAAGACCCCACGCTGAAAACTGAAGCTTTATTAGTGCATATACGGCAATATTGGATGATAATAATCTATTTATACCAGCAGTGTGAAACATTGTGAACTAATCAATGCCACAACATTTGAGTTTATGTATACTGTTCCTGCCATGTTCATTAGTATCTTCTAATTTTACAAATCAAGAAGCATACTAGTCTGCAAATCGACTGACATATATACTTAAAAAAACAAAGTCTTGTATTCGTCCGATCCTAACCTTAATTCAAAACTGCGATATTTATTTTGGATTGCAGGGAGTAGTACATAGTTTTCGTTGTATGTACTCATGCCGATTGAGCGATCTCGGTTGCTGACCTCCACTCACTGAACCGGGCAAAAAGGAAAAGAAAATGAAATGACATGAAAGAAAAGAAAACGAAAACGAAAACGAGACCAGCACCGGGTGTCCGTTTCTTTCTCCTGTCGTGACACACGAGCAACGCCATGTCTGACTGAAAACACGAGGGGATATTATTTCCATCTCGGGAGAAGCCGGGTGGAGGCGTCGAGCGTCGTTGGCACTGTAGGTGCGCTGCGGCACATCCCTCAGACGCGACCACCTGTGGTGGCCGTGAGCCCGGGACCCTCGACGCTTCCCTCCAGCCGTCCAAAATCGATCTTCAGCGGCGCTCTCGATTCCATTCTCCACGTTCTAAATGTTCGGGATAATCTCTCGTTTTCGTTCGATTTTCCACGTTCCGGAGAGGGATAAGTTCGTTTTGCCTTATCGGCTCTGCCAGAAGCCACAGCTCAGGTTGCCTTTCGTACAGCTCAAGCATCGACCGCGAGACCGGATATTCGATGATCCACCCTTGCTCCTTCGGGCTCGGCGATCTTGGTTGGGTACCGGATTCAGAGTGAAGGGGTGAATGTATGTAGACATCATCATCTTATAAATTTATTAAGGTGCAGAATTGTGATTTCAAGCCACACAAGAGGATAGTAATAATTGTTTTAACGACATATGTAATTTCTGAACGTTAGGATTTTGACGAGCAGGTGCGCTACCACCCAGGCTAAGCCTACTTTTGTGTTTCTGATTCCAGTTAGCTGACTTTTATACTCTGTTTGATAGAGACAAAAAACAACAATGTTTTTCACGAGGGGGCAGACCCATGGACAAGTTATTTCAAGGATCGATGCATTGTGTTTGTACCTCTCGAGAAATGAATGTTTCTCTTCGTGTAGAATTCAAACTCCAGTCATTGTATTGTGTGTAAACCCGAGGGAAAAAATGTTTTGAAATATATGTTGGGTAGTATGATAATTTACACACCACCAACCTGGTAATTTACATACAAACATTGCAATAATTTTTTGACCCTTTTTTATTGTTGAAATATAAGATCCGATAACTTACGCGGCAACACCATAGTAACCTTTTCTTTACCTGAAAAAATGATACAATATACCCCTGGTTTTTCCGTGTGAATAGCATGGTAGTTTAGGAATCGCATACCTGATAACTTGCGTGCCAACACCGCGATAATCTTTTATTCACCAGGAAAAAAGTTGATGAAATATACCCCGGTAACTTATGTGTGAATAGCATGGTAATTTACACACCCTGAACCTGATAACTTATGTACCTCGGGTCTGGTAACTTTGACGGGGAGGGGAGTTTGTTGAAACATACAACGATAACTTCCGTGCAATTATCATGGTAATTTTCACACGCTGACCTGATAACTTACATACCCTTAGCATGGTAAGTTTGACCCAAGGGGAAAAGTATGAAACATAATCCGATAATTTCTTTTTAAAGAGCATGGTAATTTATGCACCACATCCTTCATAACTTACCTAAAAACACCGCGGTAACTTTAGACCGGGATTTTTTTGTTTGAAAACATATCGCCGCTAATTTCTATGTATATGATGGTAATATACGCACTGCGGACCTGGTAGCTTACGTACAAACATTGTGTTTAACTTTGACCCAAAGAGAAAATTGTTGAAGCATACTCCGATAATTTCTATGTAAGTAGCGTGGTAACTTTCGTACCATGGACCTTCTAACCTAGGTACAATCATCATGGTAACTTTGACCCGAGGGAATTGAAAAACATACCCATGATAACTTGGGTGTAAATAACATGATAATATACACACCGTAGACCTGTTAAGTACAAAACAACGCATTAACTACAAAGGCATCTGTGGTGACTTTTGTCAATCTCAAGATGAAGTGTTGGCCTAGTCTCTCGGATGCTCATAGGGGTAGGGTGTCCGTGTGTACGTTTATAGGGGTTAGCATATGTGTGTATGTATGAGCGCCCGCATTTATACTGTGTTTAAAAGAAGAACTTTGATCGAAGGTGGGGAGGGGACAGAATTGTTAAAAAAATATCCGGTACTTATGTGTAAATATGGTATGTGTGAACCGTAGACCCGATGATAACTTCGACGCATTGATAAAGTAGTCGAAACATCCCCGTGATAACTTCGGTGCAAACACTATGATAAGTTACGTACTACTGTGGTGATAGCTTACGTAGTCCAGGCGTGGTAACTTTGGACTTGAAAAAAATATCGCCAAAACATACCAACATGGGATCTCGTTTCGAAAATCTTATCGCGATGATTTTTTTATGTGAAAATGGATTTTCAATCAGAGCGACAGTTTGAGCTACAAAACATTTTAAAAATTGAAAGAAAGAAAAAATTTAGAATGACATCAGCTTTTCGTCCTTTAGTGCATATATGCATGTAATTAGAGGGAGGGATGCACGTGAAAAGAAAATTAGTCATTCTATTACATGCACATATATAATTAGAGTAAAGTAAGGATCGTTTTTGCCTATTGCTAAAATCCAAACATTTGGTAGTTATAAAAGTCCTTTTTTAAAGGAAAATATATGGGACCAATTCTTGCCCTCCTGTTTTAATTGGCACTATGATTTATTTTCTTTTTTGTGAAAGTGAAAAGTTAATACTAGCCCTACACAATAAGTCATTGATAATGACTTACCCATTAGGTAATTTGTACTTAATGGCTCATGTCAATTCTGGACGTGCAACTATGACAAAATAGCTAGTGTGTGTGTGTGTGCGCGCGCGTGCGCGCGTGCGTGCGTGCGTGCGTGTGTTGTCAATTTTCTTTGATTAAGCTTTTCAAATGGAAACTTAGAGCATCTCTAAGTGACCCTCAAAGGACTTTAACTCTTTTCTCATGGGAACTTAGAGCATCTCTAATCGGATCCTCGCAAGGCTTTAACTCTTCAACAGATTTTATTTGAGGAGTTAAATCCTTTCTAAACGACCCCTAAAAAGATTTAACTCCTAATTTTTTGAGGAGAAGTGTCTCTCCCTCCTCAAAATTGAGTAGCCGAAGGGAGTTCTCGTCAAAAGATTCCTTCACTTGGGTCCTCTCTGTCTCAGCAAAATCTCTCTTCCCTTTTAGCCACCTGCTGCTTGCAGCTATAAAAGAAACCTCTTCACTTCTAGCCGCCGACAACCTTAACTTCCCTCCTAGCTGCGCATAACGTTCACTATCACTGCTGGCGGACTAGTTGAGTAGTGTTGGTATATATTATACAAGCCATTTGGGGAGACACATAAGAATCTCTGCAAGGATTACCGTATGTGTCCCGCAGATGGTTAGCATATTTTTTCTCATCAGGGGAGTGAAATTGATCTCGATATCGCCGCCTGAATTGAGTCGCCCTCATTGCCAAAATCGACACCATTGTTCGAAAGTATGATAAGCATTAGGTGGGATATCCACGTTACTTATCATAATTTCAAGCATCGTCGTCAGGACCGAGTCTCCACAGGAATTGATGGAAAAAGCGTTAGACGTAAGCGAGACGGTTGACCTTAGCCTAGCGCCTAGGCGGTGCTTAGACGCCCTAGGTGTAGCCTAGGCAGAGATACACTTTTGATTGTCAGTTTGTATTTGGATATTATATGTGTATCAGTATTGATTTAGAGATTATAAGTGAACAAATTATCGGCTATTGCAATTGGAAGAGGCTCAATTTGATCTGTTGGTGCAATATAGCTTGATTTCTCACATTAGTCTACAATTTCTTGCTTGCATGCCTAGAATTCCGCTTGTGCCCTTGACGAGGCATTTGGTCATTGCCCAGTGCCTAAGCGTGCCTAGATGCCTCCTAGACTTTGCCTTTTCCAATAGAGCCTCGAAGTCGTCGTCGGGCTTGCCATCCTGCTCATGGTGGTCCAAGCCCTCGTCGTTTTGCATGTGGTCTCCATATCTGTATAACCTCCGAGATACTAAGCCGACACAACATATTAAAATTGAAGAAGTCATCATAGACATCTCATAGCAAAGCTGGCCAAATAGGCCGGCCCGGCCCACCGCAATTGTGCCTAGCTCGACATGACCCGCCATGGCACGATTAATAGTCGGGCTGTGCCGTGCCAGCCCATGTGCTGCGGGTAGCAGCCCAGGCATGACACGGGGGCGATGTGGGTTGGCACGCGACACACCCAGGCATGCTGGCCCGTTAGGCACGAAATTTCCCATTTTGCGCGAAACACCTCGGAAAATAGGGGGGAAAGGCCAAAAAAATACGGTAAAATGCAACATTCGATAGAGTATTATGTGGGATAGATCTAGAGGTTTATTAGCGCTTATCTCATTAAAACCTGTTGGGAAACATTGTATGGAAAGCAAAAAAAATTCTACGCACACACAAGATCTATCCATGGAGATGCATAGCTACGAGAGGGGGTGAGCATCTACATAACCTTGTAGATGGCTAAACGGAAGCATTTATCAACGTGGTTGATGTAGTCGTACAACTTCATGATCTGTACCGATCAAGCACCAAACACACGACACCTGTTGGGTGAAGGAAATATGACATAGAGGCAATAATAAAGTTGTTG